TGCATTTTACAAGCTCTGACTTGCTGTGTCAGCCTCAGGAAATTCCTTCTCCACTTGGAGCCTCAGTTTCCCCCTGCCTAATGGGAAGGGTGGCAGGTGCCTCCCGAGGACCCCCCCCCACCCCGCCTCTGTCCTCCTGTGTCCATTGCTGTCGCCCCATTAGGTCAGCCCTTCCGGATCTCACCGGAGAGAGAGATGCAGATGTTAGCAAGACACTCACAGAGGTGCCCCCCAAATCCAGAATCCAGGGGCTGGAGCAATAGCACAGTGGGTAGGGCATTTGCCTTGCACACGGCTGACCCGGGTTCGGTTCCCAGCATCCATATGGTCCTCCGAGCACCGCCAGGAGTAATTCCTGAGTGCATGAACCAGGAGTAACCCCTGTGCATCGCTGAGTGTGACCCTCCAAAAAAATCCAGAATCCAATCACTTCCAGTGCCCAGATGCCTGTGTGTGACCCCCACCTAACGCCCACCCAGCCCCTCAGGCACCACCTTGCCGACCTTGGCCCAGGTGGACCCGATTCTCGCATGTTTGGGTTTCACGCAACTAGACCCAAGGACATGCACTTGCTTGTCTCTGGTTGTCACTCACAGGTCGTCTGGACGTTCACTCGGGCTACCTGATGCGGGGGGGACTTGCCTTTGGCATCGCTGGGCTGTGCTCCGGTGCTTGGTAACCCCCCCACCCGGGACTGCCTCTCCTTCCCTCCTCCCCCCTCCTCTTCCCCTTCTTTGCGGACTCAGTGGCGATGGATGCATCGTGGGCTAAACCACGTGTTGACACACAGTGAGTCGCAGTTTGGAGCGGCCCCCACAGCCGCTGCTGGGGAGAGGGTCCGGGGTGTGTTTGGGTGGTGCTGGGGTGGAACCTGTCGCCGGCACCCGCAGGACTGGTCCCCCCGCCCCGAGCCGCTGCTAAAGACTTGGCTTTCCTTGACGCGCGCGCGGGGGACGCTGCTTTTTCTGGCGGCCAGATGCTGAAAGTCCTCTGGCTCCTTCCCAGGCCCGCGGCGCGTGGGTCCAGGAGGCGGCATCGGCGTTCCAGGAGCCGCCACGCGCGTCCCCGGAGTGGCAGCCAGCGCCGCGCCGCGCCCGCCCGCGCGCGCCGCCGACAGCCTTGGCGAGGTCGCCCGCGCACGTGCCCAGCCTCACCGCTGGCCTCTTTGCGGCTCTGCTGACTCACGGGGCTTGAGCACTTTTCTCCGCTTTTTAGCTCCACTGGCCACTTTGTGAGGCCTTTGGCTGGGGCAGGGGTGTGGAGGGGCGCCCCCCGCAGGGAGAATGAGGTAGGGTCCCCAGAACTCTTTTATTTTTATTTTTTTTTTAATTATTTTTTGGTCCAGGCTGGAGCAATAGCACAGCAGGTAAAGCATTGACCTTGCACGCGGCTGACCCAGGTTCGATTCCCAGCATCCCATAGGGTTCCCCGAGCTAGGAGTGATTCCTGAGTGCAGAGGCAGGGTGTGACCCAAAAAGAAAAAAAAAGGCAATAATCCTGGGGGACCAAGGGCTGGAGTGATAGTACAGCGGGGAGGGCGTTTACCTTGCATGCGGCCAACATGGGTTCGATTCCCAGCATCCCGTAGGGTCCCTCGAGCACCACCAGGAGTGATTCCTGAGTGCAGAGCCAGGAATAACCCCTGTGCATCACCGGGTGTGGCCCAAAAAGCAAAAAAAAAAAAAAAAAATATATATATATATATATATATATATATATATAACATGGGGGACCAGAGAAGCTCTTCTTGCATGCGATGAACCCAAGGGTTTGATCCCGGCACCCCATATGGTGCTTGGAGCCCCGCCAGGAGCAAGCCCTGAGCACAGAGCCAGGAGTCAGCCCTGAGGAGCGCCCTGTGTGGCCCCACAAAACAAAACGGAAGCAGTGAAAAAAAGGAGAATGATCTTAATCACGGCCACTTCCTGGAAAGCCAGGCTCTGTATTCTTTCATTCCGAATCCCCAGAAGGAAACACACGCCGTCACCCCCTTTTACAGCGGAGGGAGTCAGGCCACGTGTCCGAGGCCACACATGGGTCAGTGGGTGTGCCGGAAGTGCCCCCTGAGAGTCTGAGTGAGTGTGAGGTGGGGGCACCGGAGAAGCCCTCTCCCTCCCCCGCCTTCGGGGTGTCTCACTCAGGCGCCAGCAAAGCTGCCATCTGGAGGCTGGCGCGTGGCCGGAAAGGCGGGTGCGGGAAGGGAGTTCTTGGCAGAAGGAATCGAGTGTGCGGAGGGCCTGGGGTGAGGTGCCGGGGACAGATGGGGACTCTGGTGAGGGAGGGGCAGGCGGCGGCAGATGAACGCTGGGGATGCATGGGGGCATCAAGCTTGTCCAGCAGGGACAAGCGGAGAGGTGGGACAGCAGGGAGGCGCTTGTCTCGTGTGTGACCCACTCAGATTTTTTTTTTTTGCTTTTTGGGTCACACCCAGCGATGCTCAGGGGTTACTCCTGGCTCTGCACTCAGGAATCATTCCTGGCGGTGCTCAGGAGACCCTATGGGATGCTGGGAATCGAACCCGGGTTGGCCGTGTGCAAGGCAAATGCCCTACCCGCTGTGCTATCACTCCAGAACCAACCCACTCAGATTTGATCCCTGGCATCACCTACGGTCCCTGAGCCTGCCAGGAGTGATCCCTGAGCACAGCACCAGGAGGAAACCCTGAGCACCTCCAGGTGTGGCCCCTCAAAAAACAAACCAAAATGAAGGGAAGGCCCCTTGGAACATTCTAGCTTCACCCCACGTGCCCTAAAGACTCATGGCCCTTTCCTGAGCCTTTCCCTGGCGACAGGGACCCCCGCCAAACCTTTTTTGTGAAGAAATGTCAGCTGTCTCGGGAGATTATGTATGTATTTATTTAGTTTTGTCTTTTGGGGTTACACCCGGCGATGCTCAGGGGTTACTCCTGGCTCAGTGCTCAGGAATTACTCCTGGCAGTACTCGAACTACCAGATGGGATGCCGGGGATCGAACCCGGGTCGGCCACATGCAAGGCAAACGCCCTACCCACTGGACTATCACTCCGTCCCGTCTCAAGAGTTTAATGAGCACTGAACTGAGAGCAGAGGCAGGCATCCTCATTCAGAATCAAAGTGCTTGGGCCAGAGGGAGAGCACGGCGGAAAGCCACTGGTCTTGCCATGGGCAATCCCTGTTGGATCCTGGGCACCACGTCTGGTTCCCTGAGCACTGCCAGGAGAGATGCCACAAGACAAGAGCCGGATCCAGCCCAGGGCACTCTCGGGCATGGCCCTGAAACCAAACCCAACAGATAATCAGAGCACAGTTCCTGCGATCTCTCAACACATTCACCTGCTCTCTGGTGCTAGGGGATGATGTCATCGCTGATCCCTTCTGACCAAGGGGAAACTGAGGCACGACAGCTCTCAACACACTCATCCGCTCCCTGGTGTTAGGGGACGATGTCATCTCTGCTCCCTTCTGACCATGGGGAAACTGAGGCACGGCACCCTCAGACCACCCAGCTGGTGGAGCAGGGTGTGAGTGTGAGGGTTGAGGGCCTGGGAATGGGTTGGCTGGTGCAGGGGGAGGGAGGGCAGCCACCTCTGGACGCGCCCCAGCTGGCCTGGGTGGGGCCACTCTCCAGAGTGAGACTTGGACCCCGGCACCTCCCCTCTCCCCGGACCCCACAAAGCTGCCCCCCACTTCCACCTGATACAGCCTGCTGGGTCCCCCCCCCGCTTTCTCAGGGCCCCTCGATTCTCTGTGGGCAGCCTGCTTTCAGAGGTGTGTACATCACAGTCCTGGCATAACAGCTTAGAGGCTGTGTGACCTTCACTGGGTGACTTGCCTTCTCTGAGCCTCCTTTCCCTGCTCCGTCAGAGGGTCTCCTTGGCACTCCGGGTGTCAGGAGGAGTTGGGGTGCTTCTCCAGGGCTTCCTTTTGGGTCTTGCTGGGACAAGGACAGCTGCATGGTTCAGTCTGCGGAGCCCGCACGTGGGTGCTGAGTTGGACCAGAACCAGGGACTCCGGGAGTCCGGGGGGGAGCCCCGAGCCCCCATTTCCCTGCCCCCCTCAGGAGCCGAGTGGGGATGCTGGACCATCCCCCCACCCCACCCCCAGCCCAATTAGGCCCACCTGGCTCGGGGCCAGGGGCCCACACACCGCCGCACGCAGCAGATGGGCGAGTGGGGTGGTCAGAATCACGTTCTTCTGATTCAGACTTGGGGTGCTGGGGTGGGGGGGATACGCACGACGGATCCAGAGAACCCCCCGCTCCCCGCCCTTCCTGTCCTGGAACGCGGTGGCGCTCACCAAGGAACAGCTTGTGCTCCAGCCCTCGACTCGTACTTCCTTGTGAATCTCAGCCTGTCTGTCCCTCCTTCCTGGCAGGCGTCAGGCTCCTCCAGGGAGGGGCGGGGGGGAAGGGGATGTGGCAGCTTCAGGGCCATGCCTCGCTGTTGTGGGGACTTCAAAGGAAGCCTGCCTCAGTTTTCCCATCTGTGAAGTGGGTATTTAAACATCGCCCCTCTCCCCCAACCACCATGAGTGGCTTTGAAAAGTCTTGGGTGGACAGTCTCAGCGTCTGGCCTGGGGTGCGGCACACTCGGGGTGAGCCATGGTGGGTCCCCCCAAGGCTTCCAGGGAGTCCACAGGCAGAGGGGGCTTGGCCCCGGCACCGGGAGGACTGTTTGGGCCCAGGGAAGGTTCTGGAGGTAGCGAGCTTCCTGTCTGCTCAGGTATGCACGCCTCCTGTTTCCTTGTGTCCCATCTGTCAGGGGCAGAGGGGAAACGGAGGCACCGCATGTAGGCAGTGTTGGGTGCACAGCCCCCCGGGGAGTTAGAAGGACCCCCATCATGGAACAGTGGCAAGGGGCCAGTGAGTGGATGACCACAAGCTTCCCCAATTCCCGACCCGGGTGGGGGCAGAGAGATGACCATGTGGGGAAACTGAGGCTCTCCCGGCCCCCCTCCCCGCCTCTCTCTCCCTCTGCCCTTCCGGGGCCTCTCACCTGCATGTTTCTCTGCACCCCCCAACAGCAGGAACTGCCTGCCCGCGTGAACTTCTCGGCTGGCCCAGCGCCCGCCGTGCCCACGGCCCTGCACGCGAAGATGGACGAGCTGGAGGGGCAGCTGCTGGCCAGGGTCTTGGCGCTGGAGAAGGAGCGCGCGGCCCTGAGCCACAGCAGCCACCAGCAGCGGCAGGAGGTGGAGAAGGAGCTGGACGCTCTGCAAGGACGTGTGACCGAGTTGGAGCATGGTGAGTGTGGGCAGCCTCCCGGCCCAGGGTGACACGTACCCTGGGAGACCCCATCCTGCTCTCTGGGCACTGATGCTAGCCGGGGAGGCTGAGAGCCCCCCACCCACCCCCCGGGAGAGTCATCGGCGTTTCCCCTCGGGGGCGGGAGGCGGTATGGACCCAACTCACTAGGGGGTTTAAACCTTCACGGACTGTGCTGCGGTTCTGGCCATTTCACAGACAGGCAAAATGAGGTCCAGAGAGGTCAAAGGACTTGTCCAAGGTCAAGTCTAGGTCTGACTCCAGAGTTTCCAAACTTTGTGCTTCTTAGCACTCCAGAGAACAGAGCCCACAACTCACTAACACCGACATGTGTTGCCTGTGTAGAGCCTGGTACTGCGGGGGGTGGGTGGGGGTGGGCAGGATTCTGAGAAAGATGGCATGGTGGACAGGGCAGAGAGACGAGCCCCCAGAGGCCCGGCTCCCCTCCCGCCCCCGTTCCTGACTCATTCGGGGTGTTTTTTTCTTTTCTTTTTTTCTTTTTTCTATTTTTTCTTGGCTTTTTTTTTTTTTTTTTTTTTTTTGCTTTTTGGGTCACACCTGGGAGATGCACAGGAGTTACTCCTGGTTCATGCACTCAGGACAGTGCTCTGGGTACCATATGGGATGCTAGGAATCGAACCTGGGTCTGCCGCGTACAAGGCAAACGCCCTACCCGCTGTGCTATCGCTCCAGCCCCTTTTTTTGCTTTTTGGGGGGGTTGGAGCGATTGCACAGCGGGTAGGGTGTTTGCCTTGCATGCAGCCAACATGGCCGACTCAAGTTCTATTCCTCCGCCCCTCTCGGAGAGCCTGGCAAACTACCGAGAGTATCTCGCCCGCGCGGCAAAGCCTGGCAAGCTCCCCGTGACGTATTCGATATGCCAAACACAGTAACAACAAGGCTCACAATGTGACTGGGCCCTCTCAGCAAATCGATGAACAACGGGAGGACAGTGACAGTGGCTTTTTGGGTCACACCCGGCGATGCTCAGGGGTTCCTCCTGGCTCATGCACTCAGGAATTACTCCTGGCGGTGTTTGGGGGACCCTATGGGATGCTGGGGATCGAACCCAGGTCGGCTGTGTGCAAGGCAAACCCCTTCCTGGCTGTACTATCGCTCCGGTTCCAACTCTGGGACTTTGGAAGTTTGCTCCCTGCCTCCATCTGCTCTGCCTTCTTTTTCGTCATCTCTGACACCCTAAGACGACACTCAGGAAACGGAGACACGGGGCGGGAGTCCAGGGGCGCCGAGAGCCGGCATCGGGCTTCGGTGTGGAAAAGGACCTCAGGAGAAGGAAAGCGGGACCCAGGTGATGGGACAGCAGGCTGGGCGCTAGCCCTGCATGGGGCCACCCGGGTTTGCCCCCCAGCACCCCGTAGGGTCCCCCGAGCCCCGCCAGGAGTGATCCCTGAGCACTGCCGGGCCTGGCCCCTAACCAAACCCATACAGGAGGCTTGGGGCTGGTGGTGTGGCTGTCCCCAGCCTTTCTGGACGGCCACAGGGCCCGAGAGCGTGGAGCGAGCGGGGCGGGGTCTCTCCCACCTGGGTTCCGCTGACCCCGCTGTGTCCCCGCCCCCAGGGCCCTCGGCCTACAGCCCCCCGGACGCCTTCAAGCTCAGCATCCCCATCCGCAACAACTACATGTACGGGCGCGTGCGCAAGGCGGTCCCCGAACTCTACGCCTTCACGGTCTGCGCGTGGCTGCGCTCCCGCTCGGCCGGCGGCGGCCAGGGCACCCCCTTCTCCTACTCGGTGCCGGGACAGGCCAACGAGCTGGTCCTGCTGGAGGCCGGCCAGGACCCCATGGAGCTGCTCATCAATGACAAGGTGAGGGCGGTGCGGGCCGGGGAGGGGGGGTCCCTGCACCGCCGGGTGGTCCTCTTGGTTCTGTATGTCTGAAGGGCCAGCTGGGGTTCTGGGTTCCCCAGATTAGCGGCCGCGAGTGTGGGGGTTCTGGGAGATGCTCCCCACCCCGCCCCCGGGGTGGAGCTGCGATGGTGACTCAGGGTCTGGAGACTATGACCTCCCCGCTGGTGACCTTTATCGACTCCGCCCACCCCCCATCCCCCGCCATCCATCCCCCGCCTCAGTTTCCTGATCTAAAAAGCAGGAACATGAATGATCTCTGCCTTAGAGGGTGTGGGCAGAAAGAAACGTGTTTGTCCCGGCTTGGAGCGTTTCCCCAGCTTGATGGGCGGGAGATGCGCCTTTATTTATTTATTTATTTATTTAATTATTTCCCAATTGAATCACCATGAGATACACAGTTACAAAGCTGTTCCTGGTCAGGTTTCAGTCATACAATATTCCAGCACAGTCTCTCCACCGGTGTACATTTCCCACCACCAATGTCCCCAGTTTTCCTCCCACCACCCTCCTGCAAACACCCCCTAGCCTGTCTCTGTGACAGGTGTTTTCTTCTCTCTCCCTCTCTCCCTCTCCCTCTCTCTCTCCCTCTATCTCTCTCGCTCTCTCTCCCTCTCTCCCTCTCCCTCTCTCTCTCCCTCTATCTCTCTCGCTCTCTCTCCCTCTCTCTCTCCCTCTCTCTCTCTTTCTCTCTCTCCCCCCTCTCGCTCTCTCTCCCTCTCTCTCTCCCTCTATCTCTCCCCCTCCCTCTCTCTATCTCCCTCTTTTTCTCTCTCTCCCTTCCCTCCCCTTTTGGGCATTATGACTTGCAATACAGATATTGAAAATTATTTCTCTCTCTCTCTCTCTCTCTCTCTCTCCCCCCCCCTTGGGCATTGTGGTTTGCAATACAGATACTGAGAGATTATTATGTCTGCTCCTTCCTGTTTTCAGCACGCAGTGCTTATCCAGAGTGATCATTTCCGACTATTATGGTCACAGTGGTCCCTTCTCTAGCCCAACTCCCTTCTCCCCCAGCACCCAAGGCAGGCTTCCAACCGTGGACCAGTCCTCCTGGCCCTTGTTTTTATTATCTTTGGCCATTAGTCTCATCCCCTCTCGGAGAGCCCAGCAAGCTACCGAGAGGATCTCGCCTGCACGGCAGAGCCTGGCAAGCTCCCCGTGACGTACTCGATATGCCAGACACAGTAACAACAAAGTCTCCAATGGAGACGTTACTGGGCCCGCTCGAGCAAATCGATGAACAATGGGAGGACAATGATTAGTCTCATAGTATGGGGATTTTTTCTATCCCACGAACGAGTGCAGTCACCCTGTGCCCGTCCCCTCCCTTTGCCTCGTTTCACTCAGCGTGATGCTCTCCCCGATGTGAGGGTCCTTCCAGACTCTGGACTAACAAGCCCCGTCACTGCCAGACCCTCCCCACAGCCCTTATTATGCCCATTTGGCAGAAGGGGGTGCTGGGGTTCGCAGAGGGGAGCTGGTAGCTCCTGGCCACACAGCTGGTACGGGGTGTCACTGTCATGTAGGTGTTCAGAAACCGCCTCCTCTCAGCCCTGCTACTCTTCTTCTTCTTCTTCTTCTTCTTTTTTTTTGCATTTTGGGTCACACCCGGCAATGCACAGGGGTTACTCCTGGCTCTGCCTGAGGAGTTACTCCTGGCCATGCTCGGGGAACCCTATGGGATGCTGGGAATCGAACCCAGGTCAGCCGCGTGCAAGGCACACGCCCTCCCCTTTGTGCTATCGCTCCAGCCCCTGCTACTCTTCTTACCTGGACTCAAAGCAGGACAAGGGTCAGCCTAGGGTGGGGGTGAGGGGCTACGTAGCAGCAGTTTGGTGGGTGACTAAGAGGGAAGGGGAAGGAGGAAAGCGTCTTTGCATCCCCAGAGCCTCCCCTGCTGCCCACTGCTGCAGCCCGGTGGTCTTCTGAGACCAGATGGAAACAGCACTGTTTCTCATTGCTGACCAGCCCATGGCCATGCAGAGCTGTGAGGAGTGGCTGCACCCCCGCCCCCAAACGGCTCTGCAGAGGGACCTGTGCTGGGTTGTGGAGGAGGGCAATGCTGGGGGCCATTCATTACACCTGGTGCCCAACAGATCCTAAGAAGACTGGGAAGGCAGGGTCAGAGCCATAGTACAGAAGGGAGGGTGTTAGCCTCACCTGCAGCTGACCTGGGTTTGATTCCCAGCATATCATCCCCCAAGCCCAGCCAACCAAGAGTGATCCCGGAGCACAGGGCCAGAAGTAAGCCCTGAGCATAGCTGAGTGGCCAAAAACCAAAAGAGGAGAAGGAGGAGGAGGAGAAAGAGGAGGAAAAGGAAGAGGAGAAAAAGGAGGAGGAGGAAGAATAGGAATAGGAGAAGGGGATGAAGAAGAAGGAGGAGGAGGAGGAGGAGGAGGGGAAGAAGAGGAAGAAGAAGGAGAGGAAGAAGAAGGAGGAAAGGAAAAAGAGGAAGAAGAGAAGAAGAAGAAAAGAAGATGAAGAAGAAGGAGGAGGAGGAGAAGAAGAAGAAGAGGAAGAAGAAGAAGAAGAGGAAGAAGAAGAAATAATAGGGGATAGGAATAAGAATACTAAGAAGAAATGGAAGAAGAAAAAAGAAGATGAAAAAGAAGAGAAGAATGAGAAGTAGACTTTGAGAGAAGAAAAAGAAGATAAAAAGTAGATGAAACAAGAAGTAGTAAATGAAGAAGGAGAAGAAGAAGAAGAAGAAGAAGAAGAAGAAGAAGAAGAAGAAGAAGAAGAAGAAGAAGAGGAGGAGGAGGAGGAGGAGGAGGAGGAGGAGGAGGAGGAGGAGGAAGAGGAGGAGGAGGAGGAGGAGGAGGAGAGGAAGAAGATGACGATGAAGATGACCAGGGTTTGCACTTGATTTAGGTCCTACTACTGGTCCCACTTCCTACACTCTGTGGCTGCAGCCTGCCCCAGCTGGGTACTGAGCTCTTGAGGGCTCCATCGAGAGCTGGGGTTCAGCACCCTGGACAGGGCCCTTGCCTGCCCCTGGCCCGCTGGAGTCTTTCTAAGTCTTTCTAGCAGCCTGGCACCCAACAGATCCTAAGATCCTCCTCCTCCTCCTCCTCCTCCTCCTCCTCCTCCTCCTCCTCCTCCTCCTCCTCCTCCTCCTCCTCCTCCTCCTCCTCCTCCTCCTCCTTCCAACCTCAGAGCCTGGCTCCTGCGTCCCCTCCCGTGGTGGGCCTTGTAGGTGACCAGTCACACCCCACTGTCCTTCCCTCATCTTGAGACTCCCCGGCTGCTGTCCGCTTGGCCCCTGTGCCTTCACCCCAGCTGCCCCCTACCCCAGAGCCCTGTATGCGCCCCTTGTTTTTATTATCCTGAATCCAGTCCTTTCCTCCTACCCGGACCCAACTCACTGTGGCTCTGGCCAGACCCCATGTCCCAGAGCCCAGAACGGGGCGTGGCACCAAGCGGGCAGCGAGAGTGTTGCCTTCAGTCATGATTTCAGGAATCACCCCTGTCCCGGCCCCTGAGCCCCAGATGCACAGGCAGTGAGAACCTCTCAGCTCACAGGAGCTTAGATCCATTGGGCCGGGGTGCTGGGGGAAAGGGGGATCGGGAGGAGCGAGCAGCCCCTCCCCCCGCCCCGCCCCCAGGACTCACGGGACTTAGTCCAGCCGTGGCTGAGCACTGTGTGACACTAAGGAGACAACCTGGAAGACCACTGAAACTTCCCTGGAACAGCCTCCACGGGCTGAGGGAGCCGCGGGGTGGGGCTGTGGGCAGACTCAAGCAGGGGAGGGCGGACCCCCACTGCTCTAGCCTGGGACCCCCAGCCCTCTGACCTGGAGTTGGGGCCCTCTGTCTAGGTGGCCCAGCTGCCCCTGAGCCTGAAGGACAACACCTGGCACCACATCTGCATTGCCTGGACCACCAGGGACGGCCTGTGGTCTGCCTACCAGGACGGAGAGCCGCGGGGCTCTGGTGAGAACCTGGCCGCCTGGCACCCCATCAAGCCTCACGGAATCCTGATCTTGGGCCAAGAGCAGGTGAGGCTGAGGCGGAGGGGTGGAGCAGAAAAACTGGGGAGCATAGCAGTCCACCAGTGGTTCCGCAGAGGGTTGCAGAAATCCCGAAGAGCCAGAGCCCTGCAGGGGTCCGGCACCCTGAGAGCAAAGCCTAGAGCTTGGGGCAGGGCTGGAACCTGGGACGGGGTCTGGAGTTTGGGGCGGGGCCTAAAGTTTCGGGGCGGAGCCTGGAGCCTGGGCGGAGCTGAAAACTGGGGCGGGGCCTAGAGCTTCAGGGCGGGGCTGAGCCTGGGGCGGGGTCTGGAGTTTGGGGGCAGGGCTGAACCTGGGAGCGGGACCTAGAACTTTGGGGTGGGGCTGGAATCTGGGGCCGGGTCTAAAGCTTTGGGGCAGGGCTAATCATGGGGGGGACGGAGAGCTTAGGGTTGGGTTGAACCTGGGGCGGGGCTGAACCTGGGGGCGAGGCCAATAGCTTTGGTGTGAGGCTGGAACCTGGGGGCGGTGCCTACAGCTTTGGGGCAGGGCCTAGTGCTTGGGGCGGGGCTTAGCCTGGGGGCGGGGCCTAGAGCTTTGGGGCAGGGTCTGGCCAAGAGGTCCCGCCTTTTCTGCTCCTTCTCACCCGTCTGTCTTTCTTTCTTTGCTGTTCTCTTTGCCCAGGATACCCTGGGCGGCCGGTTTGATGCCACTCAGGCCTTCGTGGGTGACATTGCCCAGTTTAACCTGTGGGACCACGTCCTGACGCCCGCCCAGGTCCAAGGCATTGCCAACTGTACAGGCCCGCTGCTGGGCAACGTCCTGCCCTGGGAAGACAAGCTGGTGGAGGCCTTTGGGGGTGCAACCAAGGCCCCCTTCGACGTCTGCAAGGGGACAGCTAAGGCCTGAGGGGCCCTGCCTTGGCGGAATGAGGGGACTTTGGGGGGCACATTCCCCCCTCCCCTCTCCCCCACGCCTGCACCCATCCTCCAGGACTCCCTGCTCGGCTCTGGGGTGACCGCTGAGGATGGAGGGTCCCGGGATTCTGGGGCACCCCTTCCCCACCCTCCCCCTTCTCTTGAACCCCTCCTTGGTGTTCTGTGGTTTGAGTGTTTCGTGCCTGGCCCTGGACAGCCCCACCCCAGCTCCCGGGACATCAAAGGGCCATAGTTACCCCCCCGTGCCCACCCACAGCTGTGTCCACTCTCCCAGGGCTGGGGACAGGTGAGGCGGACCCCTCCGCATGGGAAGGAAGGGGAGGAGTGAGCACACATCACCTGAGCAGCAGCCAAGGCCGGTCCAGCCGTGTGGTGTGTGTCCCGCCCTCTCTCTGCCTTCCCCGCCTGGCCAGAACCCCGGGAGAAATGCGGGGTGGTCTGTGCTCTGGGCTCCCGGGACCCAGGATGGGTCAGCCTGAGAACCCCTGGGTGGACGAGGGGTGTCACAGCAAGCAGAGCCTGCAGGCCTGTGTCTGGCCCCAGAGAGCTGGGCACGGCCCTGTGAGCCACAGACCCCCCAGCACAGACAGTGAAACCCTCCTCTCTCTGCCCCCCACCTGGCACCCCTGCTAGACTGAGCACGTTCCCAAGAGCTGGTCCCACCTGTATGCTCAGCGGAAGATCAGCAAGAGGGCCGCGGGCCTGAGGCCAGGGCAGTGCTCAGAGAGGGTCAGTGATTTACACAGGCACACACAGCACAGGGGATGGGGGGGGCGGGGTCAGGACCCAGCCCAGGGCATCTGCTCCCTCTCCCCAGCGCCTCCCTCACTGCGATGTCAGATATTAGAGGGGCAGACCCCCCCATGCATCTCCCTTTATGGAGCCCCCTGGAAGGAAGGGGGGATGAGGAGAGTGGGGGGGGGGAGAATTGAGGAGTCCTCCCCCCCCCCCCAGCCACCCACCAAGTGTGTTCATGCTCCCAGCAGGATGCTCTCTGCCCGTCTCCACGCCCAGGGACACAGAGCCTGACTCCATTCGAGAATGATGCAGGACCCAGGCCTGGGCCGGGTGGGGTTAGAGGGGGGGTGGGACACTGCTCCCGGCCTTGTGAGCCCCCAGATCTCCCTCTCCACCTCCAGAGCACAGGTAGATAGGTCAGACGCCCCCAGACACCGCCACTCCCTCCACCCCCTCCCCCACGGGAACTGCAGCCAGCACGTCCCCTCTCTGTTGCCCTGGTAACCGCAACGTGATGTGACGTCAGCCGCGGAGCTGGGTCACGAACCTCCTCATCCTGACATCTGCCGGTGCTAGGCTGACAGGAGACTGGGGGGCTGCTGTGACCGTGTTTAAGGCAGAGGCCGCGGTGGGGGGTTGGGGGGAAGGAGAGAGTCTGAGCAGGCGGTCAGTGCCCCCCCGCAAGGCATGGCCCCAAGTCCTTTATCCTTTGTCTGGGTACCATCGTGGCCTGGGAGATGTGGGGTGCAGGCTCTAAGTTTGGGTCCCTTGAGAGTGGCGGGGTCCCGGTTTCCTATCCACCCCTGCAGGGGGAGGGTGCTCAGGGGTGCCCCTGTGGGGTGCAGGGTCAGTCACAATGCTAAGAGTCCTCCTGACCCCCTTTCCGGCTCTGGCCCACAGCTCGGCTCTGATGGGACTGTCCATCAGCCCATTAGACAGACGGAGAGACCAAGACCCAGAGGTATGAAGGACCCTGTCGGGGGCCAGCTACAGGGGAATGGGCCTGGAGTGAGTTGGATCAGGACCTCTTAGGGGCTCCCCGGGCACGCGTACCCCCACTCTGTCGAGCCCGGCTGGGGTTTCATGGCTCCTGGTGGCTTTGACCTTGAAGGAAGCAGCTGGAGGTGGATAGACAGAGGAAGGGAGCTGGCAGAGAAGGGACAGACCATCCCCTGCGGCGGGCAGAGAAGGGGGGACCCCTATGGCCCCCCAACCCCTGCTTCCGGCCTAGCCCGGAGCCAGGTGCTTCCCAGCTCATGCCTGCCAGATTTCCCACCTTTGTGGGCTCGCGATGCCCCCATCCGTGTACCGGGGGCCAGACCCCCTCTCCCCAATGCTCCGAAGCCAGGACCACAGCGGGCGGCAGAATGGGATTTGGGAGACCGGACCCCAACTTCCTGCTCTGTCCAGCTCTCGCCCCACATGGGGACCTGTCACTCCTACAACTGGGCTGTCAGGTCCCCAGCACCCCCCTTGCGTGAGCAAACTAGGGGGGACGCGCTCCTCACTCCTCCTCCCTCATGCCTGTCACCCCAAGTTCCACCTCCCCCCAGTCCCTAACCCTCTTGGGGGGAGGGGGGCACCCGACAGAGCAGTGAGGGGGGGACACCAGGATTCCTGTGCCCCCACTCGGGTCCCCCTCCTCCTCGCCCCCTTTTGTACATAAAGTGACTCCAGATGCGTGTGTGCGCGTGTGTGACGTGTTATGGTTTTGTTACTTTGTTTTTGTAAATCTGAGCGTTGACAATAAACACAGTGTTTACTCTGAGGTTCTGCTTGCAAGGTTGGGGGTCTACCTGGGGTGGCGGAAAGGAGGGGAAGACAGTGGGAGGCTGTCCCCCAGGCCCCCCCATCTCCTGTTCTCACACGGGTCAGGTTTTGCAGCCGCCTGCAGACACACCCCGCTTTCTGCAGGGACGGTGTGAGAGCCCAAATCCCACGTGCAAGGCGCCCCAGTTCCACGGCCTGTGCTTTGGCCTCAATCCTCGTACCCCGTCCCCACCCGCGCCCCAGATCCAGGTCCCTGCGTGATCCCGGAGTCCTAGTCGGCCTGGATGACCCTGTGAACCCCAAAGTATGGCTTCCCCTCGGTCCCGGGGGAGGAGGGAGGGAGGGGTGTGCTGGTGTGTCCCGGCCCATCTCCTCCTCAGAGGCTGCCTGAACACTTGGGGCTCCTCAGGGTCCCTCTGTCAGAGTCCCCCAAATCCCAGCTGTCCCTTCCAGCTCTGCTGCACCCCACGCCCGGCCACCCTGACCCAGAACCCAGACCCACCTGAGGTTCTACCCTCCGAGGCCCAACCGCCCGCTTCCTGCTCTGCCAGGACAGTCTCAGCTGGTGGAACCGGGTCCCCAGGCCCTGGTCAGGGAACTGAGGCCAGCAGAGTCCACCTTCCCAGGCTCCCCCAAAGCTGCGCCCACTTCACTGCACAGAGAGTAAAGCTGCCCCACGGGATCCGCACCTCAAAACAGAACCACGTTGGGACTGGAGCTCTAGCACAGCGGGGAGGGCGTTTGCCTTGCACGCTGCTGACCCGGGTTCGATTCCCAGCATCCCATATGGTCCCCTGAGTACCGCCAGGAGTAATTCCTGAGTGCAGAACCAGGAGAAACACCTGAGCATTGATGGATGTGACCCAAAAAGAAAAAAAAAGGAAAGAAAAAAAAAAAACAACAGAACCGAGTTGCAAGCCTTTATCTGATCCAACAGCCAATCCAGAAGTGTTCGAAAACTCACATGTCTTGACGTCCCCGGGAGCAGATAGTCTCTCAGGTGGGTTCGCCCGGTTCAATCCCCAACACCACATGATTCCCTCAATATCATTGGTTGTGCCTGGCACCCCCAAATCCCATCTGTATGCTCTCTTGCTTGGGTTTCTTGCCAAGCACCATCTCTCCCCTATCCCACTCAAACTTCACTGTCCAGCCCTGGTCACTCAGCCCTGGTCACTCCCACCTGCTTCCCCCAGAAGCCGCACGAGGAAGTGCACTGATGTTTGAGATGTTTATGAGTGGCTCATTTAAAATCCATGGCCGGGAGCTGGAGCAATAGCACAGCGGGGAGGGCTTTTTTCTTGCACGCGGCCGACCCGGGTTCGATTCCCAGCATCCCATAGGGTCCCCTGAGCACTGCCAGGGGTAATTCCTGAGTGCAGAACCAGGAGTAACCCCTGTGCACCGCTGGGTGTGACCCAAAAAGCAAAAAAAATTAAATAAATAAATAAATAAATGAAATAAAATAAAAATAAAATCCATGACCAGAGGTTTGTGGGGGCTTGTGCTGACCCTGTGACAAGTAGCTTCCCTCTGTGAAGGCGCTTTCTGCAGGGGCTGAAAACCAGTCCCCAGGTTTAGAGAAACAGCACAGCGGGAGGGCGTTTGCCTTGCACGTGGCCCATCCATGGAGGTTCAATCCCCATAGTCCCCTAAGCACTGCCAGGAGTGATTCCTGAGAGCAGAGCCTGGAGTAACCCCAAACATTGCCAGGTATTGCTCAAAACCTTAAAAACACAGGGGCTTGAGCAATAGCACAGAGAGGAGGGCGTTTGCCTTGCACAGCATCCCATATGGTCCCCTGAGCACCACCAGGAGTAATTCCTGAGTGCAGAGCCAGGAGTAACCTCTGTGCATTGCCGGGTGTGACCCAAAAAGCCAAAAAAAAAAGTGCAATTACCTGGGCTCAACCAACCATCTGGAACCCAGCCTGGCCCGTGGATGGAAGGGGCAACCTCACCTTTGTCTGGCATCAGCTCACAGCAAACCAGCAGGAGAGCCAGGACCCGCCCTGGGCACCAGTTGTAGGGACAGTATTAAAGGGAAATGCTGGAGTAGACGCCTCACGGCAGAAGGGAATCACGAATCACGACCATCCTGTTATTCGTCGATTGCCTCGAGCAGGCCCCAGTAACGTTTCCTTCATCCTAGCCCTGAGACTTTTAAGAAAGTGCTATATTCAAGGCTCTTTAGGAGAATGAGACCCATCATTGTTACTGGTATTTGGCATATTGGGTACGCCATGGGGAGTTTGCCAGACTCTGCCGTGTGGGCAGGCTACATTCAGTAGCCTGCCAGTTTGTCCAAAGTAGGAATGAGATAATAAGATGTCATAATAAGATGTCGCAGGGCCGCGAATGCGGCCGCGCAGTTCTGGAAGCTGGTTTTTATAGTCTCTGAGTCTTGGCTGTTGATGGGATTACACGACGCCAGGGGGCCAGTTATTGGGTGTGACCCCCGCCTACTGGAATTCAGAGGATCTGAGTGGAGGATGCTCAGCCCTGATCCGAGTAGGCTTGGAGATCT